GGGCCACCACGACACTCATTAGTTGGATTTACAGGAACTGCATTAGAAAAGTGTCCTGTGTGAGCCTCACAGCAGTTGGTCGCGTGTGATTGTGGTAGGCATATTAATTTGTGACATTTGTGATTTCTTATACAAAGTTTCTGTAGTTTCCAGGTTAAATCCAGGAGGTCACATTTCTTTATGGAATAGAAGGCGAACGGAAATACGAATCACATGATGCTAAGTGACTGACTGATCATCATTATCATATGTTTTAACAAATCAATTCCTCACTTACTAGCTCCCGATTTGGCATCTTCAACCTTTAAGCCCTATGTATAGCAAACGAACAGAACCTAACCTGATAGTAAGCAATTGGCGCCGCCCATGGACACCCTCAACGTCACTTTGGATAGGGGAGGCATGTGGGTAGGGAAGGATCAGGGATCTGGTAACCCCACTCACATGGCGGAACATAACGCTGTGCTTGTTTCACGCCGGTTTTCTGTGAGGCCGTGGTACTACTACACTTCGGTCGAGCCGACCCATTCGTGCCGAAGCATGGCTCTCCCACTCTTAATGGCGCTATTGAGCTGTTTTTGCCGCATTCGTGATGATATAGATTTATTTTTTTGATTATTTACCAATTATAACTTAGAGTAGTCAAGTCGGCCATCGCTGAAAATCAGCGCTGTGACACTGTTTTGCATAGTGATGCTGCATATGCTGACCGAGGGCCATTTCGCGTGCTTGTGTCGCATATTTTTCCTTATAATAGGCCTTTACCTATGAAATTGCCATTTTGCATGAAAAAATTTAAACGATTTTTTTGATTTTAAATGTGATGAAAATGTAACACTAATCAATAAACAAATGACTACTTTTAGAAAAAGAATCCCATGTTTTTAAAACAAAATTAATTAGCCTTAGCCTAACAAAAACTATTTTGATTTGAAACGGCCAGTACTGCAGAACGGCAATTTCATAGGTAAAGACCTATTATTACTCTTTTTTAAATTCTATTACCACTTGTTTATTCTGTGTCTTATGTGCGTCCTAGACGCGAATAAATACTTTTTCTTTCTTTCAATTTAGTGATAACTGGTAAAGTGGAAGGACAGAGACCTAGAGGCAGAAGTCCGATACGTTGGACGAATAAGATTGGCACCACTCTCAACACTACAACCCACGATGCTCTACACTCGGCGGCTGATAGAAATAGATGGCGGAGAGTAATACGCAGTACACTGCTTCCACGAGGTGGTCACGACCCTCAGCATTGAGGAAGCCGACGCAAGAAAGAAGATCTATTTTTTTAATGGACAGTGTGGCTACCGAAGTCACCTGTGGTCACCGAATGGGAAGCAATAGGAACCGCCCATAGACACCAGTTAGGAGGATCACAACCTGCTTTATAAGCTTCTTGTTACGGCATTCTCACATCACATCATCATCATCAGCGTATAATAAGTGCCCACTGCTTAGCAAAGGTCTCTTTTCATGCGCAGAAAGTTTGAGCATCTTTTTCTCTTTTTTTCTTTCGAATACTTCAGGAATCGGATCTTCAGGAAAAGGATCAAGTATCAAGATCAAGTATGAGAAGCGCGCGCGGGCGCCATTACTTCTGGGCTACGGCGTCTGATAAAAAAGACATTTGTTTTCTTTTAAAGAGAATTCTGAAGAAATATGGTTGGTACTCAAAAAAATGAAGCAAACAATCCCAGATAATTATTCATGAAGCAAACAACATAATATTAATGAAGCAAACAATCCCAATATTTGGTTGGTTATTTATTTATCCCATCGGTTGTGTAACTTGAAATAGTAGACAACTTTCCACACCCCTTTTAAGAAAGAAAGTAGGTTAACGATTGGCCCTCTCAATCCTTCCCCTACCCAAAAAATCTCCAAATCCTTAATCCCAAAAATGTCGGCAAGGCACTCGTAACTCCTTTGTTTTCTCGAGTGTCCATGGGCGGCGCTAATTGCTTACCATCAGGTAATCCGCCAGCTCGTTTGCCGACTTACCACATAAAAAAAACAATTGCACAACTTGCGTGTGAAAGTAAACTTGCGATTGCCGCGTATGACCCAAAATCTCGTATCCTACGGCCGCCGTATCATAGCGAGTCTGAAGTTAGCCGTTTGTCTGCGCAATGGATCTTTTACGAACAAAATTGTGTACTGCGCAGCTAATCGGCTAACTTCAGACTCGCCAAGATACGGCGGACGTATTGTATTGTTTATTAGAGTTAGGATAAATTTTGTGAGTAGCGGTGTATGCGCGCTCCACTGGTAACTTGCTCAAGGCTTCATGCTCTCGCCCCACATTGGTTGGGAAAAGCCATTCGATGATTAAGTATTCCCTCTTTAAAAAAACCTACTGTAGAGTCTGTGGTAATCCTACTTATGTACAGAAATCACTATAATGGCCAGTTTTTTTTTATTTAATAGACTTGCAAACGAGCAGATGGATTACCTGATGGTAAGTAATCAGTGCCGCCCATGGACACCCGCAACGGAGGAGTTACGAGTGCGTTGCCGACCTCTTAGGGATTAGTGTTTTGGAGATTAAGGGATTGAGGAGGGATTGGGGGTGGGGAAGGATTGGGCCTCCGGTAACCTCACTTACACGGCGAAACACAACGCTGTGGTTGTTTCACGCCGGTTTTCTGTGAGGCCGTGGTATCACTCCGGTCGAGTCGACCCATTCGTGCCGAAGTTGATTTCCGACACTCATTATAAAAATAGGTAATGAAACCTTTTGAATAGGGTAGAAAATAAAACGAAAAATGCATTTAAGATCATTTAATATTTACAAAATTTTATTTATATTTTTTTTTTTCAATTTAGTCTTTGGTAGTAGGTATAGATCATTAGGATTAAGTACATAATACAATTTATATATTAATCTAAATTATGTTAAAATATCACTACATAGTATAAAACAAAGTCGCTTTCTCTGTCCCTATATCCCTATACGCTTAAACCTTTAAAACTACGCAACGGATTTTGATGCGGTTTTTTTAACAGATAGAGTGATTGAAGAGGAAGGTTTATATGTATAATAACATCTATTAAATAGTGGAGAAATTTAGTATCAGCACTAAAATTTTCATTACAAATAAAAAATGTTGATTATAACATCGTAAAATAGGCAACTAATAGGTCTTTACCTATGAAAATGCCGTTTTGCATGAAAAAATTGAAACGATTTTTTTGATTTGAAATGCGATGAAAATGTAACACTAATCAATAAAAAAATGACTACTTTTGAAAAAAGAATCCCATGTTTTTAAAACCAAATTAATAAGGCCTTAGCCTAACAAAAACTATTTTGATTTGAAATGGCTAGTACTGCAGAACGGCAATTTCATAGGTAAAGACCTATTAGCTACAAATTAATATAAAAATCTTATAATAAAGAACTGTAATCCCTAAAATTGTTATATAAATCTAATATATTTGTGCTATAAAATATGAATTTATACAATAAATAAATGAAATTTAAAAAACATTATTTTAAGTTCGAAAAGTCGTCATCTCCTTAAGATCTGGTGGGGATATCCAGGTGCAGTTGTGAAGGTACGGGGTTGGTTTTTTAGTCAGTAACAATCAAAAGTCAAAAATAATTTATTGCAATTAGACCCTTACAGGCACTTTTGAACTTCAAACAAAATTTTGAAGATATAGTGTCAGTCTGTCGGTCAGTCCTCGTAGTGAAGCTATTTGCTCGTTCCAAAGTGTAGATTCCGATGGAGAAGAACGAGCAAGAAACTCCATGGTTACTCTTTTTAAATCAGTTTCACATACAGATTCCTTTTACAAACAGTTGGTTCAACTATGTGAGAACAGTGTAACACTAATATTTATTCAGAGTCTGACACTCCCTCCCGAGTCACGCCACACCCATCTCCTTACTAAGGCAAACTTTAAATACTTACTATTTATATTGCACTAAACATTATACATATCTACATCCCATAAAAACCTTTATTTACAATATTTTATTAATTCTTTGGAAAAACACATGTACTTAGGTATCGTCATGAGCTAATGTTCACATGTAAACAGCAGCTCATGTAAAGAGATTGTCCAGTCAACTGATGGTAGCGGTGACTGTCCAGGCGACACACGTACTTAGGTATCGTCATGAGCTAATGTTCACATGTAAACAGCAGCTCATGTAAAGAGATTGTCCAGTCAACTGATGGTAGCGGTGACTGTCCAGGCGACACACGTACTTAGGTATCGTCATGAGCTAATGTTCACATGTAAACAGCAGCTCATGTAAAGAGATTGTCCAGTCAACTGATGGTAGCGGTGACTGTCCAGGCGACACACGTACTTAGGTATCGTCATGAGCTAATGTTCACATGTAAACAGCAGCTCATGTAAAGAGATTGTCCAGTCAACTGATGGTAGCGGTGACTGTCCAGGCGACACACGTACTTAGGTATCGTCATGAGCTAATGTTCACATGTAAACAGCAGCTCATGTAAAGAGATTGTCCAGTCAACTGATGGTAGCGGTGACTGTCCAGGCGACACACGTACTTAGGTATCGTCATGAGCTAATGTTCACATGTAAACAGCAGCTCATGTAAAGAGATTGTCCAGTCAACTGATGGTAGCGGTGACTGTCCAGGCGACACACGTACTTAGGTATCGTCATGAGCTAATGTTCACATGTAAACAGCAGCTCATGTAAAGAGATTGTCCAGTCAACTGATGGTAGCGGTGACTGTCTAGGCGACACACGTACTTAGGTATCGTCATGAGCTAATGTTCACATGTAAACAGCAGCTCATGTAAAGAGATTGTTCAGTCAACTGATGGTAGCGGTGACTGTCCAGGCGACACACGTACTTAGGTATCGTCATGAGCTAATGTTCACATGTAAACAGCAGCTCATGTAAAGAGATTGTCCAGTCAACTGATGGTAGCGGTGACTGTCCAGGTGACACACGTACTTAGGTATCGTCATTAACTAATGTTTACTAGTAAATTATTATTTTTTATTGAATTAAGTTTGAAGATTTTGTTCAGTTTTCAGTTCTAATGCCCAGACGTGTTGGGGCCAACCTGTTCGACCCTTAGTTCTCTTCTCCGCTGATGCATTTTGCTGTAACAAAGAGATTATTGCAGTTATTCAATTGTCCTTTCAATCGTGGTCATTCAAGACACAATAGATGTGCGAACGCCGGCATTCGCTTGGGTGAATGTTAGTGAATGAAATAATTAATATAACGCCTATAAGTATTTAATAAAGTACATAGGCACTTAATGATCACACTTTTAATCATTTTATTTGAGTGTTAAAGAGAATGGCCCTACAGAAAACCGACTTGAAACAACCACAGCGTTCTTTCTTCCGTATCTAATAAATATCTCAAATTCCCTTAATCCCCGAAATCATTATTTCCCCAAAGGCCGGCAACGCACTCGTAACTCGTGACCGTGATAGCTTTTTTTGACCATACAGGTACGTGACCTATTTAAATTTTCGTTATTTATTGAAAATAATGACCTAGTGACATAAATTTACGGAGAAAAGCTTAACTAGTTTCAAGTGACAACGGGACGTTTATTCATGAGAAGCGTGCCCGTTCCAGCTACTTTCCGCAGCCAACTTTTACTTACTGATTTTTTCTGTTACCTACCTATTTCACAGTGAAAATGTCGCTGTTTTCCATAAATAATGTCTTACGATAGTTTAAAAAAAATATTTTATACCCAGCTGATTTTTAAATGATACTTTGCATACTTCCTCTTTTTCTAAACAACCAATCACAAACGTCCATCCACTTTCAAAACGTCAACGCCATGTACGAACAGACTTGGAAACAAAAAAAAACAACAACTGAAAGAAAGACTTTTTTACTCGAAACACATCATAAACACAAACTACTGTTTTAATATGTACACGTGTTTCATATTTTAGTCGTGTTTCAAGATAATTTTACAAGGAACACGTGAAAAAATGTTTGACGTACCTACCTAATAAAAAAATTTACGAGTGCGGTAGCCATCTTTTTTTGGCGCGCTTTTTTTTGACGTTTCTGATTTTACATTGTCTACTGACGAAATGACTGTAGATGGGTTATAGTTTTAAAAAAATATTTATTCTTCATATTTAATTTTGACGTTATTTTAGATGTAGTTTAATTATAATACGGTAGTTTCCAACTAGTCAAATTCAATACTTTTATTCAAATGTCAAAAACGACACTTTTCTATGAAATCTGTATGAAACATTAAATTATGATCATAGTATTTTTGCGTCAAATATCTTACTTATTTCTTAATAATTAGCTAAAAAAAATCTAAAATTTAGTATATCGATCGATCGATGAATAAAAATATAGTTATTTTTCGATATTTTATTATATTGTAACGTCGAATTAATTTATTTTTGACCTAGGAAACTACCAATTATTGTGAGTGTTTGGGATACCAATATACGATATTGCAAAAAAAAACAATATTTTGTATTTTCAGATTTGTGAAGAAGATCAAACTCAAAATTGTATAAGTACTTACTTTATCTTGGTAAAACTATTTCTGAAATATTTATTAGTTAGTTAAAATGTTACCTATTTATATCCCAGACATTAGGTCATTTTTTTTTCTTTAAAAAAAAGTAGACTGTGTACTTTACACAGACACTGAAGTGCCTACCATTTTTTCAAAAAAAAAAATTTTACAAAATAAAAAAACCGCCTTCAAAAAAAGTCAAGCAATAAAAGTTCCTACACTAAAAAGTAAAAAATAACAATTTGAATTACTGTAAAAAAACTTAATTTATAGGTAAACTTATTTGACATTAATATTTTGCAAATATTCAAAATTTATTACTTATTTTTGGAGTCGGTGCCAGCATTTTGATGTTGAAACTTAATGTTAGTTAGGTTTTTAATATCCGGTGCCATTTTTCGTACATAATGCTTAAACATTTTCAATGTACTTAAAATGTTTTTGTAAGTACATATTTTTTATTTAAAAAAATGTGCAAATCGGACATTTTTTGTAGAGAAGTCTAATCTGTATTTATGTCTTAATTAATATACCTATATTTGAGTATGCAAATAGGTATTAAGTAGTTTTATAATTAAGTAAGAGGTAGTTTTTCAAGGGATTGTTGCCCATTTGTATTTCCTTGCATGGGCTGGCACCGACTCCAAAAATAAGTAATAAATTTTGAATATTTGCAAAATATTAATGTCAAATAAGTTTACCTATAAATTAAGTTTTTTTACAGTAATTCAAATTGTTATTTTTTACTTTTTAGTGTAGGAACTTTTATTGCTTGACTTTTTTTGAAGGCGGTTTTTTTATTTTGTAAAATTTTTTTTTATTTGTAGCCGTTTAGTGTTTTTTTTTATTATTATTATAATGTGTTATGGCAAAGAAGTCAATATCGTTCCTACATTTCTTTTGAAAAAGTTACCAATGTCATACTTATACGTAGAAATACATATCATAGTACATTGTTACTGTGTAATCGTTTTGATCTCGAGGAGAGATGATATGATGCATGAGATACTTATGACTTATAGTTAAAATAAAATAATAATCTTATCATAAATTCATATTAGTTCTCGCCAAATAACAAAAAACTAGATATTTTCATCAACAGACAGATAAAGTTCAAAGATACCAAATGCAATCTAATTTAGTATCTATGATTAAATACATTCGTACATAGAAAAAAGACCGATGCAATTATTGTTTTGTATCAATTGTAACCCATTAAATGAAGAATACTATTTTGTTATTACTAAGAACACTCATATATAGACAAGTTGGTAAAAATATAAAAGACCATCGCTATTGTAAATATACATTTATGACTCATTCAATGTATGAACCTTTTTTAAGTAAGTATTATCTACATATGTGCACACAAAAGAAACACAATTATTGTTTTGTACGACGCAATTATTGTTTTGTAACCCATTTAAAACGACTGTTTTGTTAAAAATGCCAATTAATTCTCTTAGCCTATTACCAGGAAAACGATAAGAACACAATGACGCATTTCACCACTAATGTGTAAACGCAGTCCACGTGGACTAATGCAAAATAGCCAATACTAGGCCAAACTCCGCCCCCAAAGGTGTGCGGTCCCGCTCTAGAACCTTTCGGCCCCATCGGCCATCTGTTCTACGAGCAATGTGCCGTGCCCACTGTCACTTAAGTTTGGCATTTCTTCGGGCTATGTCGGTGACGCTGGTTCTTCTGCGGATTTCTTCATTTCTGATTCGAACATGCACGGAAACTATGAGCATAGCCCTTTCCATTGCTCTTGACAGCTCTAATAAGCTTACACAATACTAGGCCCCATGCCAACCTTCCAGCTTCATCATCACATCAGTTCAATAGTACCTTACAGCCAAAGTGCATCTTATAACAATTCTAACAAGCCCAAACACGGCTAGGATATATTAATTAGGTACGCAGTTCCAGTGCCTACCTTCCAGCTCCATAATCATCATTAAATCAGTTCGATGATAACATTTCCAACATAATTATTTAAGATCATTGGTTTACAGTGCATTTTCATAGTTGCTGAACTACCTTGATTGTGATATCTATGCGAGTGTCAAGTTTCATCATCCATTTCTGATCTTCTTCACCAGTTCCACCTCATCAAACATTACTTTTTGACTGTAAATGCTTGAGTGCTCTATGAAAATATTAAAATTACTATATAGTTGCCTATAATATTTGAGGAGTTCCCTCGATTTCTCATGGATCCCATCATCAAAACTTGATTTTGAAAAGAATGGGACCAATCTGGAAGCATATCCTTTCAATCATAAAAAAAATTTTGCAAATCCGTCCATAAACGACGGAGTTCTGAGGTAACAAACATAAAAAAAAAAAATAAAAAAAAAAAAAAAAAAAAAAATACAATCGAATTGAGAACCTCCTCCTTTTTTTGAAGTCGGTTAAAAAAGGTCTACAAATAGATAACTGTATTCTTAATTATTTACAAGTTAACTGCACTTGTCGATAAGGCGGTTTGCAACAAAAAATAGTTTTGGCTTCTGTTTTTCGTAACGTCAAATATTTTTTGCTTAACTTCACTTTTAAAATGGATTTAAGAAACGATTCATTGTGTGTTGTGCAGTGAGTTTAGCAGAGGCCCAGTCCTCTTCCCTTCGGACACCCGTAACAAGGGTGGCGTAATGAGTACGTTGCCGATCTTTTGGGCATTTAAGGATTGGGGGTAAGGGAAGGTTTGGGGCTCTGGTAACCTCACTCATATGGCAAAACACAACGCTGTGGTTGTTTCACGCTGGTTTTCTGTGAGGCTGTGATATCACTCCGGTCGAGCCGACCCATTCGTGCCGAAGCATGGCTCTCCCACACTTCTTTTGTTTCTCTGTTTATTATATTTTGTAATCTATTACATTGTTACTTACGAACAGTTTCAGTGAGGGCGTCGTAAATCGTAAGTGACAGTTATCAGGGGCAATTTTTAATTAAAAGTCAAAAGTCAAAATCATTTATTTCAATAAGACCCATACAGGTACTTTTGAAGATATAAAGTGTCAGTCTGTCGGTCAGTCCTCTTAGTGAAGCTATTTGCTCGTTCCAAAGTGTAGATTCCGATGGAGAAGAACGAGCAAGAAACTCCATGGTTACTCTTTTTAAATTGTTACCGAAGTCATACTTAATAACGATTTTGTTTAAGTAAGCATTAAAAGATTCTGACTACAGCGGTATAAGCCCGAACCCAGCGGGAGGAAACGCCCGAGTGTCGTCATTGTGAGGACCACCTAGAGGATACGGTGGAGCATACGGTAGCGGTATGCCCTGCTTCGGCTGAGCACGGGGGTGTTTTTAGTCAGTAAGAGTCTGACACTCCCTCCCGCCCGACCCTGGGGAAGTCATTTGATGATTTTCCCCTCACAAAAAAAGCGGTATGAACTCGTTCTTAAATTCCATTTGTATCGAAATGATCTCAAATAAACCTCGGTACCGTGGCCTCGTGTTGGAGCAGGAAAAGGAAGAAGGGGTGGTTTGAGATCAGTTTTTTTTAAACTTTGCCCCATTTTACGATTTCCTCCTGTATCGTACGTGGATGCGCAATTTCACATACACATCACACTCAGA